TAAACTAGCTTAGACGCTGCTTGCTCATCGAGCTCAACCTCTATTCAGCTTGCTTGTGCGGCCCTTGAAAACAGGGACTGTGACATGGCTCTGGCTGGAGGCGCACAAATTGCAAGTAATCCATTTGAGTTCGCCGCACTTGGCATTTCCGGATTCTTAGCAAAGTCTGGAGGTTGTAAAACTTTTAGGGCTGATGCTGATGGATATTGCCGCGGTGAGGCTGTTGGCGTAGTCGTTCTGAAACGACTCGAGGATGCAGTGGCCGACAATGATAACATCGAGGCTGTTATCACTGGCTGGGGTCGCAATTATTCCGCTGGAGCTTCTTCAATTACACATCCTCATGCAGAATCGCAGGAAAAGCTGCTCGGTCAAGTATTACGCCAAGGAAACTCGAAGCCAGGAGACATCGGATACGTCGAGCTGCATGGCACTGGTACAATCGTGAGTAGACCCACTTCTGATGTCTTGATCTTGCTAATGCTAGGCTTAGGCTGGCGACTTTTCGGAGATGATGCTTACTTCCAAAGTGTTCAACGGTCATTTTAAGCCAGAAAACCCTCTTCACGTTGGTGCTTTGAAAGCTAATGTTGGGCATTCTGAAGCTGTGAGTAATCCCGTGGGTCCATAATAGGGGTAGCTGTTCCTTAACATGACAAACTAGGCAGCAGGTGTTTCGTCAGTTATCAAAGCTGCTCTCATAGCGAAACGAGGTATAATTCCTCCACAGGCGATGATAACACCAGATACTAAGTTGCACCCTGGTTTCGCCAACCTTGACATGTCCACCATTCGCATCGATACGGAACCAGTGACGCTTGATAAGACTAAAAACAAGATTCTGATAAATAACTTTGATGCTTCAGTGAGTATACTATTGAGAACCCATTTGGCCTAATCCATTCACTAATTGTCCGATCTCACCAAGGGGGGTAATACTTGTCTACTGATTGAAAGAGCACCGGCTGCCGCTGAGAAAATAGTCGATCCACGAAACTGGCACACCGTGACAATTTCGGCACAGACTAACTTATCGCTTAAGAACAACAAGCAATCACTGCTAGATTATCTTATGAATCACCCCAATACCAAGCTTGCGGATATAGCCTACTCTTTGACGGCCCGTCGGATACACTACACCCGAAAGTCTCAATACGTAGCAACATCTACCGAGGAACTTATCTCTCAATTAGCTAAGGATATTACCAAGCCTAAGTCAGATGTGAAGCCCATAACGACAAGACCTGATCATATTTTCATGTTCACTGGCCAAGGCTCTCACTATACTGGAATGGCTCACGAGCTCTACAATACATGTCCTCTGTTTCGGGCGAACTTAGTCTCCCTTCAGAAACTCTGTACATCACTCGACTTGCCACAATTCCTCGACATTGTCTCCAACAACAGCGAGGATATGTCTGCATTCTCTGCCATCCAGATGCAGCTTTGTATCTTGTGTCTCGAACTAGCATTAGCAGAGATGTGGATGACGTGGGGCATCAGACCAAGCATTGTTGTTGGTCACAGTTTAGGAGAATATGCTGCTCTAGTTGTCGCTGGTGTCCTTTCGGCCTCGGATGCACTATGGCTAGTTGCAAAGAGAGCTACGCTACTCGAAGATGCTTGCACTAAAGACGAATATGGCATGCTTTCAATATCGGCCCCAGCATCAATTGTGGAATCAGTACTGAAAGACACGACGGACTGCGAACTCGCTTGCTTCAACAGCCCAAATTCAAAAGTGGTTAGTGGACCAGCAACTAAACTACAAGATCTTCAGAGTTACCTTAGCAGCATCGGCGTGCGATCAAAATTACTACAAGTCCCATATGCCTTCCATTCCGCTCAGCTGAACACGATCTACTCCGATTTTAAGAAAGCGGCCCACTGCGTTGCTTATCATTCTCCAAAGGTCCCGGTTGCCTCTACTGCTACGGGCCAAATTGTTGACAGGGATGGCACATTCAACGCTGATTACATGGCTCGTCATTCGCGGCAACCGGTGAGGTTCCTCGATGCACTGCATAGTATCCAGAATGTTAGGGGTAAGAGCCCACCACCGCTTTGGCTTGAAATTGGGCCAAGTCCTGTTTGCTCCGTATTCTTGCGCGAGACTCTTGATATTTCGGCATCGGAACTACTCCTCTCGATGAAGTCTGGGGAGGATAACTGGAAGACTATCAGTACATCACTCGGTCGTGCATATATAGCCGGGTCTCCTATACACTGGCCTGAGTTCCATCGACATCATACGGAATCACTAAAGTTCCTTGACTTACCTACATACTCCTTCGACTCAAAGCAGTTTTGGAAGCCATACACAACTAAAACTGCTGCTGCAAGTGGAGTTAGTATGGGGAAGGATGTTGCTCAAATTCCATCGGAGCAGTTGTTGAAATTTGTTCCAACGGCTTCAGTCCAGAGAATTCAAAGTGAGACTACGAGCTCAGACAGGATTGAGGTCACATTTACTTCTTGCTTAACGGATCCTCGACTTCGAAATATTATTAGGGGACACAGTATTGAAGGCGCCTTGATCTGCCCAGCAAGCGCCTACGTTGATATGGCCACTACTGCCGCGAAGTATGTGCATGCATTAGCCTTGCCAGATATGAAGTCACTCGGTACCCTTGTCAAACTTGAACTTATCAATCCATTGGTGTTGAAGGATGAGTCAATTACACAGACAATCGAGATTAGAGTCGTCGCAGAGAAGAGGTCTGACTGGGAAGCACAAGTATCCTTCCATTCCAACTCAGATGGTGGGAAGTTTGATGACAATGGAACCTGCAAGGTCCTAGCATCTGACCCGGCAGAAAGGAAACACGAATGGGTTGAAAACGCCGAGCTCGCTAAGCAGCGGATCAAGGCGCTAATGTCACCAGTGAAGCCTGATGGTTCCGTGACCCATCACATGCATCACCGTATGTTTTACAAACTATTCAACAGTGTTGTTAAGTATTACAAAAGGTACCAGGGCATAACGGAAGCCTTCATCGACTACGACTTCCATGATGCAGTGGCCAAGGTCAAATTATCACAAACACCCGACAATGAAAAGAACGCCTTCGTCGTCAACCCATATCACAGCGACTCCCTCGTGCACCTTGCTGGTTTTCTTTTGAATAGCGACAGCGATGATGGAGAAGACCTACTTCATTTCTCCTCTGGAATCAGTGGGGTTATCTTGGCCAACGAGTTCCATGAAGACAAGACATACCTCAGCTACGTCCGCATGTTAACTAATGCGAAAGGTGAATCAGTTGGTGATCTTTATTTGTTCGATGGCGATGAAGTCATTGGTGTGGTTGCTGGTATCAAGTTTCGCCAGATGCGAAGAGCGGTATTAAAGCTTACTCTTGGTTTGAGCATTGGTAATCCGGTTCGAACTAAGGGGTCGGCTTCACTGAGCAATGTTGTCCTAAACAATGCTGGTACCGATGAAGTCCCGGCGAAGTCCAATGGTAGTTTAGCAGATGCCTTCCTTGCTGCCCTTATTTCCGAGACTGGTGTTGATCCAGAGGATATGGAAGATTCGACGGAACTAGCCGAACTCGGAGTTGACTCATTAATGGGTGTTGCTATCTTACAGAAGGTCCAGAGGGACACCAGCGAGACACTACCAGCGACGATCTTCTTCGAGCTCCAGACTGTCGGAGATGTCAAGGCTCATCTCGGCATTGACTCCTCTGAGAGCGGAGATGTGGAGTTTTCAGAAGACAATTCGCCGTTTGATTCCCCGAAGGCGCCGTCTGATATCACCAGCATTTCTTCTACGCCAGAGGACGAAGTCGTACAAAGACTATGCTCAGATGATCTCACCAGAAAATACAGCAGTAATGTTGTCTTGTTGCAGGGTGACATTAAATCCAAGGATCGCCCCCTTTTCTTCGTTGCCGGCTCCAGTGGTGCTGCGACGATCTACACTCAACTCCCTAAATTGGCGTCGGGGACCCCAGTCTACGTCCTCGAGACACCATTCCTTGATTATCCCCACGAAATGCAGTATACCCCAGAAGAGATAGCACCAATCTACCTTGCTGCTATTAAATCAATTCAAGGCAAAGGGTCATATTTGATCGGAGGCTACTCTGCAGGAGCTGTCCATGCCTATGAGATCTCTAGACTACTGCTTAACTCCGGGGAGGAAGTAGAGAGACTCATACTGGTTGACATGAAAGCGCATAGGCCAGGAGAGACATGGACAGAGCCACCACGGATGGAAGACATGGACGGTGCTGGATCCTCTATTGGGGCCGTGGACAAGAACTTCAAGGCAATGCGATCATGGGAGCTGGCTCGAGCTAGTCGCTTTGCCAGCCTACAATGCATGTACAACTGGAGGCCGACTGCCATGGATGCTGCTCGAAGGCCAACAAAGGGCACAATCATGATCTGGGCCCGCTGGGGGATGTGTGAGAGATTTAAGATCCCTAACATGGTGGTTAACCCCTTGATCAACCCTATGTCTGCCGAGAGCAGAGACTACAAAAACTGGTTCTATTCACAGAGATATTCCTACGGTTCAAACGGGTGGGATGTGCTTGTAGGCGATGTTGAGACGCACGTTATCGATGGAGATCATTGGAATATGCTAGAACCACCATACGTGAGTGACTAGACCCTGACTAGTGGATAATGGAGAAGCACTGCTAACATAGAAGACACAGGTGGCAAGCCTCTCTAGGGCTATAGACCAAGCAATCGCTTGTCGCAGCTGAATGGTCCACGTGTCTTTACGTGGTTAAATAGGAACATTTCCATAGGAATCGGGATTTTAAGATAAAGGGAATACGAAATCTTGGGATCGTATCAGACCAAGAATTTCATTAGTCATTTTACTTTACAGGCATTGATAAGTGTAGTGTTATTATTTCTGTCAAACCAAAAGCTAGAACATGACGTTTTTGGCCTCCCTATCCACACCTGCTTGCTTGACGATCGCTAGGCAACATATAGATGTTTGTGTATATAAAGAGACAAAAAGATAACATTTGGCACGCCCACGGTGGGATTCGAACCCACAGCTTTCAGATTACTTCTACAAGGCAGTTCTTATAAAAGTCTGACACGCTAACCATTGCGTCACGCGGGCATATCAAATATTATTGTCATTTGGTATGAAGAAGGTGCGGGAGGAGCAGGCAAGTGCCCACCCCTATCGATAGAGGGGCGTACGAGTGAAGTGGCACACCAGACTTTGATGTGAACTAGACATTTCAAGGAGACATAGAAATCTTTGTCATTGGATTGTTCCTATTGTTTTCTATGTCTGTTTTTTCACATTGGTATGTCACACAATAGGAAAGGTGATAAAACAAAACCCAGCTCATATACACCGGTACCATACGACACGATGCGATCTCTCCAGGCGGACATTCACCCTGTGCAATGTATGTCCTCAAAGGGACAGTCTGAAGTTGGTACCTGATATACCTGACTATAGAAGGCATAAAGTGTACCAATATAGTCAATATAACCGTTTGGGATCTCCCACTGACTTACCTCTCTGGCCTACTTAGATTACTCCTGCTAGCGCTATTAATGAAGGCATTGATCTATTTACCAGTTGCCCTGTTTCTCGGCTACCTTCAATCATAACTGAAAGTTGTCTTCAGCATAATAGCTAGAACAATAAGTGTCTTCAAAAAGCTATTTGTGTTTCTTAAGAAAATACACTATATTCTGTATTCCGTACCACGGGTTGAGCATATACACTTAATACAGCAACTTTTAACAGCCACGGGTTTAAGAGGAGTTAGCGCTCCGTCTATTTTTGTCTCCGTTGTCTTGATTGGTTGTGCGACAAGCTCTAGCGTGATAGCCACGCTCGGAGTTAGGCTCAGGCGCCCCGGTCGTAAGCTCAAGTCAGTATCCCTGCGTTTCAGGACACGCCGTCAAATGATACATCTAATCAGCTAACAAAAGTGAGCTCGAGAGCCAGATTGTAGCTGACTACGGTTTAGTAAACTGTAAATAGGGGACCGGTTTAGCGCAGAGGTATTGAATGATATCTCGCCATAATACCTACCCCCGGAATTAAGCCCGAGCAGATCGGCATTCCTCAGGCTAAGTCCGGTACGCCTACAGTGCTTTGAATAAATGAAATGTGCACAGGGAGGGCTTTTTTACTCCATTCCTCGAGCTTAACTTTTCTCTAACCAATGGGAAAGCTCGTACAATACGTCAGACATTCATGTTGCTGTGAGGGTCAAGCATTGGTACAGCACAAGGCAATCTCGTAAACAAAGTGTACATATATATCTAGGCCGTTCGCCTCCGCGAGGTAGCCGATTCAAGTTAATCGAGTCTTACTAACACAAGTTACACATCTACACATCTATCATGTCTGGGATACACAGCGCTGCCATCCTCCCGCAGAAAGGCGGTCCATTTTCGGTTGGTGAGCGCACCACGCCTGAGCCGGGTCCAAGAGAGGTTCTCATCGAAGTCAAAGCCGTCGCCTTGAACCCCGTCGACTGGTACCAGCGCGATTTCGGCATGCCTCCGGTGCCTACTTATCCGGCTGTTATTGGATCCGATGCTTCTGGCATCGTTGCCAAGCTGGGCTCTGAAGTCACTGCAGTGCCTACGCCGGGAAGCAGAGTCATTGCATTGGCCTCATCTTTCTACCAAGATGGTTCCCCTGACCACGGCGCTTTCCAACAGTATGCCTTGGCACAGTCAGAAGGCGTCATTGCGCTGCCAGACGCTCTCTCATTCGAGGAGGGTGCTGTTTTCCCCTTAGCCGCCATGACCGCGTTGACGGCCTGGACCACAATCGGTATCCCACTCGACACCAAGTACACTCCACAGGAGAAGCAGGCAGTGTTGATATGGGGCGGCGCCAGTAGCGTAGGCACTTTCGCCATTCAATCTGCCAAGTCTCTAGGCTTCACCGTCTATGTCACCGCTAGCCCCAAACATCATGAATATCTCAAGAAACTCGGAGCGCACGCCGTCTTCGACTACAAGGCGAGTGATATCGTCCCAAAAATTGTTGCCGCGGTGAATAATGATGGCGTTAAACTACATACCGCACATTGTGTTGTTAAAGGAGGCCTACAGCCAACCTTGGACGTGCTCAAGGAAACAAAGGGTGATGCAGTTGCCAAGGTTGCCCACTCGCCTGTTCTGCCCCCAGACCACCCAACGCTCGAAAAAACCGAGATTCTGTTTAATTATCCACCGATGGACCCGGCAGCGAGGGACAAGCATATGTATCAGTGTTTTCATGGATGGCTGCAGGATGGTCTGAAGTCGGGCTCAGTCGTTCCCAGCCCAGACATCCAGGTTGAGGGTGGCGGTCTGGGAGGTTTGAACGCAGCATTGGATAAATTAAAGGGCGGCGTCAGTGGGACTAAGATTGTTATACCAATATGATAGCTCATCTGTATATAGTATGACTGACGTTACGAGGGCTCAGGGAGTAGGGTCTTCATGATATAATTCCCCTCCAACTAGCTGAAATGAAAGACAATATAAAAATAAGGTATCTCAACATTTCCGTGTTCATGGCATTTGAATATCTTAGTGCCTATCACTTTCAAAATCAGGTTTGGGCGGGAGATCATAGCCATACCTATATTGAATACCTAGATATAATGTGCCATATCCCTATATCTGACAACCTCCTATCTGTCTAGCCAAAAAAAAAAAAAGATGCCATCAACTGTCTGTATGCTGCATTCAAACATCATGTACAAAAGGGTTGCTAGTTCACTATCATTCTAGTTATAGTACGAAGCCTCAACGCACCGGAAGCCCCTTTTCCAGCCCCAACTTGAGCACTTCCACCAACCTCTTCACATCATCCGAATTGTTGTAAAATCCAAACGAAATCCGGACCCCCAGTCGATTAAGCGTCATACGAACACCATGCGCTTCCAGGTGCTCACCCCACAGTGCCGTGGGCAGCCCCAGGACACAGATATGCGGCGCGCGAAGTCGGCGCTCTCTCGGCCCCACAACCTGCACACCCAACTTGTCGCACTCGGCAATCAAGGCGTCGCTCAATGCGTACAGCCACGCCTCCACATCCACCGGCCCCAGAACATCCAAATAGAACGCTAAGAACGCGCGCGCGGCCACTGCAGCCACGAGACTAAGGTTCTGATGCTCGAAGCGCCTTGCACTCGGCCAAAACTCGATCTCCGCATCAGAGACCGGCCAATCTGCCCGCGCACCGCGCACCGCCGAGACATTGACGATGGGCGGTGTGGGGTCAAGCTCCGTGAGCACCGAGGGCGCCACGTACAGTGCGCCGAGCCCAGTAGGACAGGAGAGCCCCTTGTGCAGACTGAAGGCCGCGGCGGAGAGGCCTACACCCGTGACGTCGACGGGTGCGAACCCCACCTGCTGCGTTAGGTCCGCCAGCACGTGGATCCCGGCCGGACGAAACGCCGCGCAGATCCCGGCTACGTCGTGGTGCTGCCCGGCATCGAAAGTCATGGAGGAGAGGCCGATGGCGCGCGTGCGGGCGTCGACGAGCGGAGCAAAGGCCGCTGCGTCGAGAGCCGAATCAGGTTGCGTCGGGAGTTGGCGGACCTCGAGCCCTAAGCGTCGCAGGGACAGCCACCCGTATGCTTGGTTCGCGTGCTCGGTGTCGACGATGACGACGTTGTCGCCGCGACTGAAGCGGATGCTGTGGATGAAATCACCGAGGCCCTCGGTGGTATCCCGGGTGAGCGCGATGGAGGAAAAATCCGGAGCGTTAATGTAGCGGGCGATGAGGCGGCGTGTTTCCTCCTTCTTCGCCTGCCAGATGGTGTGCGGACGGGCCTCGTAAAGGGCTTCGGAGGCGTACCGGGTGATGGCCTCGTGGACAACCAGGTTTGAAGGCGGGGCAGAGCCAGCGTTCAGGAATGTGAGGCCATCTTGGGACACGAGAGGCACGAGATGACGGTATGCGGCAAATTTCACTGAGAGGCGTTGCAATTGGTCATTGCTATGACCTGCAGACATATTTCCATGTTCTGTTGAAACTCTATCGGCCGTCCGGCGGGAGACCATTTTGAATGCCGGGACTCCTTACTTAGCTTAAACTGTGATGCACTGTAGGCCAAAGAGAAAGAGAAGAGTTGAAAACACTTTTCAACATAATATAGCTACGTGCGAAGACACCTTCCTATAAGAGAACATGGCTGTTCGTCAAGTAGGTAGGTCGTATTGCACCATCGCCCTCCATCCCGACCCCGCTTCCTTGGCCTCCGATGATGAAATTATTTACGTCCGAATGGACGTCAAGGACTATCTACCTAAAGTGCAAAGGAGAGACAGGCCCTTAACGAGGCGATGCACAATTATGGCATATAGGACGACTAGAAGACCAAGGCCTTGGCCTCCAATCAGTTTGTAAAGGCGTTATTAAGATATGAATATATATATATATATATCAGTTACAATTCCCAGGTTTTTTCTTCAACACGTATTATTTTCATCATCTATATATAATGCGCGAGACTAGGGGGATACCAAGTCATATACGAGCATGGAAATATATCCTTCCAGTAGTGCTAATATTCATACCTGCATAGTAGCACCTATCATATCTCAAGTGGGAGAGCCGTCATAATAGTCCCACAATCGAAGCAATCCACCATCACACTCGGGTTCGGTTCACAGCTACAATAACAGTGGTCTTCTGGTAAAGACTCGGTAGCCAGATGCCACACTTCCACTCATTCAAATGGCGCCATCAACCGAAACACCCCAACGGCATACACTCACTCAACGCTGTCAACCGAATCGACCTACACACTCATTACGTCACTGTCAAAAAGGATGCCGACCAACTACCGCCAGGAAACAAATTGCACGAAAGGCGACGAATATGCTGGCTCTGGTAAAGTTCCAGTAGCCACACGTCAGAGATAGATATCTCGATATATGTTACAATAAAGGCATTAGGCTTTCTATTAAACCCTAGGTATATGATACGTAAAGTCAAGGGATATAAGGGAATACATTAACCAAGAGGATATTTAACCATGTGGTTTTATAATTGCAGGCTTTATTACATCACAAGATATGTTATATAACTGTAGATCAGTTTATTTGTCATACGTCATTAGGCTGACCATTATCATCCTTCTT